TCTTCCCTGTTGAGGTGGAAGTTGCCAATGTAAGTATCCCAGAGGAAGAGCAAAGCAGCTTCAGCTCAGCCATTTTGTACTCTTGTTTGCTGAAATATAAGGAGCTTTGCCTAACAGAACCATAATTTACTCTGATGAAGAGCTAAACTATTCAGTTCACTTCTTACCCTGCCTGTGGAAAGAGATGTGCCACAAACTCAGAATTTATAATTATATACTTAGGGTTTCTACAGAATAATACTTCAAATTACACTCCCCTCCCCAAATTACATTGTGGATATCATTGATGGCTCATGCTTATAATTCTACTCAGAGAAGGCAGAGATCTAAGAACCATGGTTCAAAGCCACCCTGGGAACAAAAGTCCACAAGACTCATCTCTAAATGACCACCAAAATGCCAGAAGTGGAGCTGTGGCTCAAGTGGTAGAGTACTAACTTTGAGCAAAACATCTCAGGGATCATGCCTAGGTCTTGAGTTTAAGTCTCAGAACCTAATCATAAAAAAAGAGATTTGGTAGAATGAGATGATGGAGTTAATGGATAGAAAAAGAATATCATCTACCTTAAAGTATTTCAAAATATAAGACAATTTCTAGATGAGATTCATTTTGTTATTGAAAATTCACTCACAGGATTTAATGCAATATTATATATATTAATTTAAGGATATGAGCATTACATCTACTAAAATCAGAACTTTAGGGCCATTTTACTCAGACACATGGGAAAACATAAGTATTCTAGCAGAACTATGAGTTCAGTTATTGTAAGTCACTGCTACATAAGCATCTGCAGAGTGGAGTTAAAAAAAAAAAAGAATCAAGTCCCTTAAAATGTTCAGTGTAGGGTCGCAAAATAATACAGGAAGCTTAGAAGAACTGGAGGATTTTTTTTGTTAGTGGAAAACATTTAACTATTTCATTTTGTTTCACATTATGGAATCAGGTATTCTTTTAACCATTTCAGTAAATAATTTGTAAATATTTAGTTTAAAAAATTAATAAGCTGGGTGCTGTGACTCTTGCTTATAATCCTAGCTACTCAGAAGGCTAAGATCTGAGGATTTCAGTTCAATAGGCAGGATTTGGCAGTAAAGTCCGTGAGACTCTTCGCTCCAATAAACTACCAAAAAGCTGGAAATAGAGCTGTGGCTCAGGTGGTAGTGTTAGCCTTGAGAAAAAGTCAGGAGCCCTACCCAGGCTGAGTTCAAGCCCCAGGACTGGCACATATATACAAAAATATTAGTTAGTAAACATGAAAACATTTCAGATTATTTAAATGTATTGAAAATGTTTAGAGAAAAACATTAATGTTCTTGTTCATTACTTTGTTATTCCCTTTATTACATTTCTTAAATTTCCATAAGCTTATGAAAGTTTAGATGATAAAAATATAATCCTTAGGCAAGCTCACAGTATTTTTTTGTACCTTTGACAAGTGAGAGAACATGCCTGTAACACAGTCCCAGTGGAGTTTCTCTAAATATTACTTAGCACATAGGATTCCTCTAGCATTACAAATCTATTTCAGCCCCTAAATTAACATTCATCTGGAAAGGACCATTTTTCCCTGTTTATATAACATTGTCACATAAAGAGTGTTAAAAAAATATTTCACTAAAAATAGCTTGCGTAAGTTAGGGATTAGAGTAGTTTCTGCTGCTATAATTGTTCCTTTGTAGTTTTTTCCATGATGTTTTTTGCACAGTGTTTTTGACTATGTTTATTAAAGTCAGCACATCAAAAAGGATCAAAGAGAAAGTGAGTGAGAACCAAAGAAACCCCAACTGTGTTGTCTCATTGGGGAGCTATGCAGATTTGAATAAACAAGTGCAAATTGTTGAGGTTTTAATGAAAATTTTTCTACAATTATTTTATCTTAAGTCATTCTATACAATAACATCTGTATAGCAGATGGCTATACTGTACCAAAGCAATGCTCCCTTTTCTTTCTCTGTTTAATAGTACATCTGAGATGACTACTTTTGTCACTGTGCTCAATTTGGTCCAGCAAATAATTTGAAAAGTGCAGCTGTTGCAGATGGCCACAATAGTTATATAAACTGTAAAATCAAAGACACAGTTAAGTATTTCTGTATTAGATTCAGCCTATAAAAATCTGACATTAACCGCATCGAGCTCAAAGACGTACTATAAAAATTTGGTTGAATGCAGAATGATGTTATTTGAAAACTACAATACGAAATATGACTACTGGTAAAAGGGTTTTGTGTATGTGGACTGGTGTTGGATATTTTAAAATCACTTATCAAAATTGTACCTATACCTGAATACATATACAACTGCCTATGTTTTATACAATCTGTAAAGTATGTAATTTTAAGATACTTAACTACATAATGAAAATTAACATCTGAAGCTTACATTCATTTTTATTTAAAAATAGCTTAAAAGCTATGTAAGCCAGTACCAGTGGCTCAGATCTGTAATCCTAGCTACTCAGGAGGCTGAGGGTTTGAAGCCATCCTGGGCAGGAAAGTCTGAGACTTTCATCTCAAATTAACCACCACAAAGCTGGAAGTGGAGCTGTGGCTCAGGTGATAAGAGTATTAACTGAGCAAAAAAGCTCAGGGATTGTGTCCAGGCTTTGAGTTCAAGCCCCAGGACTAGCACACGCACACAAATGCATATGAACACAAAGCTACATAATAATCTCTTACCGTAATTTTCCTAGAAACCAGTCTTCAGTAATAACTAGAACTTGATACAATCCTATTTGACTTAATTATGTAACTACTTTGCTAATTTTATCTTCTAAGATGTTTTGGGCATGCTGTCACATAAAGTGGAAATGTAGAAAAATATCTGGTATTTGTAATGGTCTCATAATAAAATTTTTCCTATTAAATGGTTGACTTCAATTTTTATTTAATGTAATACAAACTTTAGAATGTTTGCTGAATACTTCTCAGAAGGGTTATACCAAGTATGTCTTAGTCAAAGCTATAGTTTTTTATTTTTGTGTTTAACTAGACATAGAACATAACTGTATAAGAAAAAAAAAGGCATGTAGTCTTTCTAGTATGAAGAAAAGTTACAAAAAACGAATAGAAGGAATCTAAAAAGTTTGTCTGGCTCAATGCCAGAGAAAGATTTTAAATTATATTTTAGATGAAAACATTTAGCAAGGGTAGTCACCAATAGAAGTTTATAAAATATGAGTAGAAAATAAATTTTAAAGCAATGAGGATAAAAGAAAAGGCCTTTGAATATAGTTTGCTTAAGTTCTTCCACTTTGAGCTCTACTTAGGGCACTCTCTATGCTCTCATTAAGGTACAAGGAAAAGGCACAGGAGCCAGCTCAATGCTGCCTAAGCTGCAGTTTATTCCTGGATATTTAGTAGATTCTGCAGTGTATTTCTGCAGTGTATTTTGGTATTTAATGTTTTTCAGGTCCCAGGAACCTTATATTTTTCAGTTCAAACTTTAAAGACGATAAAAAACTACAGAGCTTTTTAGCTGGCTTGGTCACAAATATTTCTGGTGAGAAAGAAATAAATCATCTATGCTTGGCTTAAAATTAATACTTCTCAACTATAAAGCATTTTCTTTTATCTCTTAAACTACTGTACCCAAATTGACTTTATGAAATGAAATTATATAGACTCCAGCTGCCCCTTATTTACTTGTTGGTAAGCAACTAAACTGCACATAATTTTAGCGTTTTATCCCCTGCACTACCTCTTTTCCTTCATGTATTTCCCTGTACAAATTAAAGTGGAAAAGATGGTTTGCTTTTACCACTTTTATTTTTAGAGCAAAATTTCTGGCATTTTCCTGTCACTTTTACAGTAGCAGTTGCTATGATTGAAAACTTTTATTTATTTATTTTTATTTATTTATTTTTTGTCGGTTGTGGGGCTTGAAGTCTGGGCTTGGGCGCTATCCCTTAGCTCTTCAGCTCAAGGTGAGTGCTCTACTGCTTGAGCCACAGGGCCACTTCCTGATTGAAAACTTTTATTTGCCACCTGTGTTGCCCTTTTCTGCCCTTCCTCCCATTCCTTATGCCCACCTTTTCTGACAGTGTAAAAGAAGTGCCTAACAACTTACGAGTACCAGAAGAGAAAAATGTAGATGTCACTACCAGTTAGCTTCTAACCTTTCCACCCATCAATGACATTCAGTTACAGCTGGCTAGGCCTCTTTTCTGGGCTAGGTACAGAAGCACAGTTTTTTTTCCTTGCCAGGTGTTACTAACTGATAAAATGCTTCAATGGCATTCTTGCAGAGTTGAACTTTGGCTTCTGTTACACTTGATATAGCATATCTGCCACCCCAGCAATTTTTCTTTTTTAAATAAATTGTTACCAGTTATTTAATGCAGTGTATCAGAAGCACCTGTAGGGCTTACTGAAATACACACTGCTGGGCTCTATGCCCAGAGTCTGACTCTTTCAGCTGGGGTAGGGTATAAGAATACGTATTACCAGTGAAGTCCCAGGTGAAACTGCTGTGGATACTGAGATCTCACTTTGAAAACTACTGTTCTAATGAGTCACAAAAACCTGAAACACAAAAGTGTAGCTATGGCTCAAGTGGTAAAGCGTTCACCTTGAGCTTAAGAGCTCAGGGTCTGCACCCAGGCTGAGTCCAAGCCCCATGACTGACAAAAAACAAACAAACAAAAGCCCTGAATCACCTTTGTTCCACAATAGCACCTTGAGATAAAAAGAAGTTAGGAACTGAAAGTTATCAAGACACTGGTAGGAATATGCCTCAAGAGGTGGATAGAAGCATTTTAGAAGGGCACTGAAATAATAGGCTCAAAGGACTTGTTACAAAACTATCTGTGCCATAAGGTCACAAACCAGAAACACCCCCATCTCTAATGGCTTTTAAAACCTTTCATTTCTCTTTAACATAAATCTTCAAAATAATACATTTTTCAGATGTTTAGCAACATCTGAAAAATAGATATTGCTTTGTCTTTCTCCTTTATCCTCAGCCCTACCCCTTCCTTTCCTTATCTGTAACTTACCAGGCGCTTTTTGTGCTGCTCTGACATTAAGGCTTCCACTGAGGTTGGATAGGGATGCTAACAGACATGGTTTATCAGCATGGGGGACAGTTTCCATAGAGACCACAATTTGAGTAGTGTGGACAGAAATTTTTTGAAAGCAGGAAATTGTATTCCACATGTTTTCTTGAAATGAAATCTTCTCTATTCCATAACCATGAATTTTAGGTGTAGACAATTTTCCACGGCAACATTTGGATACTGGATGCTCCTCTTTGTTCAATGTAGTATCTGACACAATTGAGGTCTCTTCACTAGGTGCAAAGCTGTGTGCATTTCTTATCTTCTTCAAAAACTGATTTATCTGATCCAGTTTGGTAAAACTTAGGTTTGCTTTCAAAGGCTTTGATACATCCAAGTTGATGTCAGCTATAAAAACAAAAAAGGCAGGTAAATTACCCGAGTGTTCTTTTAAGATATGCATTCTGATGCCAGAATGTTGTATTTCTTTTACTAACTATTCTTTCCATGTAGTTACTTGAAGAAACGTTCTCTTTGGATCCATCAGGCTACATCACTGTGATTGTTCCTAATACATGGAGTGCTGCACACAGATATCAAGGCCATCAAGGCCATCATTTCCACTTTTGCTTCTGCCCTCACACCTTAGGCAAAATGAAGCAGACATTACAGTTTTTACTGTTACTTACCCGAAACTGGCATTCTCTCTCCAATAGAAAAAAAAAAAAAGGACTTCTATTACTGGATAGAACAATGTTTGAAAAAAATACAGGTCTCCATTAACCTTGATCCATCTGACTGAAGTATACTCCCTTATTATTCTCTAGTCAAGTTTATGCACAGAATGTTTGCTTCTACCTTGTGACCTGCTGCTAACCTCCTTTGTCAACTTTTGCCATCATTCTGCATTGACAGAGTAGAAACATCTCATTCAATTTAACAGAAAATTATTAAAACCTACAGTTTTATTTTTAATGTATCATGTATCAGAGGTTGTTATTATTGTTCTTTAAACTGACATTATTTCTGTTTTAATTTTTATATTTCATTTTATGTCATCATTTTGTAAACGTTACCTATAAGATATTAGACTACAAGTGTCATAAAGGCTAGGCATGTCATACATTTTTATAACTAGTACCTAGAACACAGAGTGTATCCCATACCTACATGTCCAATAAAAGTTGGTGCTTAATAGAACCTAACAAATATTCATTTCATTGGAGATAAAAGCCTTATGGACTTTTTGGATAAGGTTGGCTTTGAACCTCTATCCTCAGACCTAAGCCTCCTGAATAGCTAGGATTACAAGCCTGAGACACAGCACCATTAGTTCCCTGTAACTAAACGTATATTTAATACTGAAAAAGAAAAAATGAATACAAAAGTCTGTCGACCTTTCTGCTGAACTCCTATGGAATTATGAAATCCATTCATCCAAAACAATCCATTAACTCCTTTTATATATTCTGTTTCTCCCTCTCTCAGTTAATGGTTCTTTTATGGACCACATGCTCATGTCAGCAATCTGACTTTGACTCACTGAATTACCTTTTTCCCTGTCCAATACAAACATGAATATGTTTTGTCAATTTTACCTCCATGAATCCCATTTCCTTTTCTCCTATATTCCAGCCACTCCTTGTTTTCTCCTCTTCTAAGTTTTGGATATTGTTCAGCTATTACAAGGTCTTGCATTTATCTGCAGCCATTGCCTACCTCATCAGAACCCACTTCCCCCAACCAATTTATATGATACCACCAAGTTTGCTCATGTACTTAATGAACTCTTTTTGTGTCTAACTTCTAATCCTCAAGATATTACATTCTCTGTAAGAAATTAGTTCACATGTATCCCTATTTAAACAATTTGTTTTTCCCCTTCCCCTCCACTGAGATGTACAAGTCGTTATGTCAAAAATGAACTTTACAACTTTGGTGGTGGGGGTAGGGGGAGGTGGGGAGGATTGGGGGGGCGGGGGGGGAGGATGGGAAGGGGAAACAAAGAAGGAGGCTACAATGCTTGATAAGAAATGTACTCATTATCTTGCCCATGTAATTGTAATCCCTCTGTACAGTATTTTCCACAATAAAAAAAAAAAGAAATTAGCTCACAGCTTAGTCTCCTTGGGGGCTGGAAAGTAGAAAATCAGAGTTGAAATACAAGGCAATATTGCAATACTAGGTATTCCTTTCTAAAATATCAAGTCTGCCAAGAACTGGAATCGCATGCCAGAATGAGAAAGTCCACAAATTAAAAGTTCTAGCCTTGAGCACAAAAGCTGAGAGTGCTAAGGCCCTCAGTTCAAGCTCTAATGCTAATACACACACACACACATATTCTTTGTTGGTATATAAATGACACTAAAATGTATAATCACTGTCACATATGACATCAATAAATCTGCAAGGCTACTAAACATTAAATAATTATTACATGTTATATATTTATTATATGTTTATATATATATATAAAATTTGCTGGGAATTTTTGGTCACACTGGTGACACACTTTTTGGTCACCAAATCTCTGCTTCCAGATTCCTGTTGCTTAATTGGAGATGAGAGTCTCTTGTTCTTAAGCCTTAACTCCCAGACCTCAACCTACTGATTAGCTAGGATTATATCTGTGAGCCACTGGTACCCAATTTGTACCAGACACTTTTAGTAACCAGTATCAATAGACTTTCCATCCTTGAACTAGCTAGGCACTCTTTTTTTAGTAAAAAAAAAAAATCAGAGCTTTAGCCAGGAGCCGGTGGCTAACATTTGTAATCGTAGCTACTCAGGAGGCTGAGATCTGAGGATTGCGGTTCAAAGCCAGCCCGGACAGGGAAAGTCCGTGAGACTCTTACCTCCAATAAACCCCCAGAAAACCAAAGTGGCGCTGTGGCTCAAACAGTAGAACGCTCACCTTGAGCTGAAGAGCTGAGGGACAGCGCCCAAGCCCAGAGTTCAAGTGCCATGACCGACCCACACCCCCCCCCCCCCAAAAAAAAAAATTAGACCTTTCATTTGAATATTTTTCAGTCTCATAGTACAGGAAATTATTCTTAGAAACAACAAAAAAAGTGTAACAAAAGTTTGCCCTCCCTTTTTTGTGCCAGTCATGGGGCTTGAACTCAGGGCTTGGGGACTTGAACTCAGGGACTGGGTCTGTCTCTGAGCTTTCTAGCTTAAGGTTAACACTCTACCACTTGAGTCGCATCTCCATTTCTGGCTTTTTGGTAGTTAATTGGAGGTAAGAGTTGAGGACTGTCCTTCTTAGGCTGGCTTTGTTTCTTGATCCTCAGAACTCAGCTTCCTGAATAGGTAGCATTACAGGTGGGAACCACCAGTGCCTGGCTAAGTTTGGCATTTTTAAACACAGAAAATAAAAATTGGGCAATTTACATTTTTGGACCATCATAGTTTAACAAGTTGATGAAACACAGTAACTGTCATTAAAATAAAAATACTAAAGAAATAGACTATGATTTTTTTCCATAGGGACACAATGAAAATTATATAGAATAATGCTTTACAACAACTAAAAACACACTGGAAAAAAAACTCAAGCATCAATTATTAATGTGGGTTTCATTCCAATTATTGTCAGACTCTTGTATATAAGAGTTTTATTTTTTCCAAGTCTTTCCATTTCCTAACAAATGAGGTAATTCTTTCTGATGGAGGCATAGTATTCCATTTTATATATATATGTTCATGCCACATTTCCTTGATCCATTCATCTACTGAGGGGCATCTGGGTTGGTTCCATGGTAAATAATGTTGCAATAAACATAGTTGTGCTGGTAGCTTTAGTATGGTCTTGTTTTTGATCATTTGGGTAAATGCCCAAAAGTGGGATTGCTGGGTCATAGGAGAGCTCAAGTGGAGTCTTGAGGAACCTCCATACTACTTTCCAAAGTGGCTGAACAAGTTTACATGCCCACCAACAATGCAGTAGAGTTCCCTTCTGGCCACATCCCCTCCAGTATCTGTTATGTGAAGTAAGCCAGGCCCAAAGAAATATAGTTCCCATGGTTTCCCTTATTTTCAATAACTAGTATATGTCTGGGACAAGCAGAAAAGGTCAGATAAGATGATATTAAGCGAAATGAACCCGAAGATAGGGACCTAAGTGGTTTTTTTCTTTCTTGCTATTGTTTCTAACCTATTTATAAGGTACCATGTGATTTTTTTTGTTGCTTTGTAAGTCCCTCCCCCACAGTATAACCCCTGTTTTCACTGTATTTGATGTTGCTATAATTTGGGAAGGGGAAGGGAAAAATAAAATGTTTAAATAGGGATACAGGTTGACCCACTGCAACAATGAGATCTATAAGACACTATGTTGAAAAATGAACTTTACAATTGAGGCGGGGCAGGGAGAGGGGAGTGTAGTTGAGGAGGTGGGAGGGAAGGGATGGTAGGGAAAAAAACAAAGGAGGAGGCAACAATGCTTGATAAGAAATGTACACATTACCTTTCTCATGTAACCCCTCTGTACAGTATTTTCACAATAAAAAACTTATTAAAAAAGAGTTTTAATGTTTTATAAGTCTGCAATGAATTTAATAAATGGACTATTTTCAAAGTTCAGATTTTAGAAATATGCAGTAATTGAGACTCTCCCAGCTGAGTCATATTTTCTGCCAGATCTAATTTCTTACCATCCCTGGAACATATTCTGTATCTTTACGTTACCAAGTAAACCCATGACTGTCAATTGTTAGATTCTAATTACCCTTCAAAACTTTATGAACAGCTACCAGGAAATAGAATGATGGAACAACTATTGAGTTAAAAGGAGATTAGACAAACACAAATTATAGTTATTTTTATGCTTCCATCACCCTAGAAGGTGACTTAAAAGTGAAAAGAAAAGAATCATTTTGCAATAATGAAATCAGAGAGGGAACTTAAGCCCCAGAGGTGATTCCCCTAAGTTTATGTTAATATACACCTTGTAGGGGACCAAACATCAGTTGGAAAACTTTCTTGAAAACTGTTCCAGCTATTTTCTTATTTAAAATGTTCCGACTTTATTTGACCCATTAGTCATCATATTACTTACATTATGATGTATTATGAAATCTTTTACCAAAAACCCAATGGGTTCAATATGGCTTCATCTCAAATCATAACTTATGAAAGAAAACTTTTTGTTAAGTGTTTCTTCCTTTGGAAGTTTGTTTTCAAAAGACATTTTTTTAAAAAGGCCAGGAAGGCCTACTATGAAAATATTCAGTGTTTACATGCATAGCTATGTACAGACACAAAAATGGTAGGATTTTCACTCCTTACCTTAGAGAGGTAAATGCAAAGAGAACAAATCTACAAGTGAATTTGATTTTCCAGATTATAATAACTTCAATAAAAATTTTTGTCCTAAGATCATAATCCATTTTTCTCTTTGGAATTCA